GCTATTTATATTAAATTGATTTTTATTTATATTTGAATAATTTATATTTGATTTTATATTTAAAGAATTTTAGTTAATTGTACTTGATTTTTTAGAGTTTCGTTTATTATAATTGAATATTTGTTAATTATTAATAAAAAAATTTATATTTTGATATAAATTAGCAGAAAATGAGGAAGGGGATTGAGGGCAAAATCTGCCCCTAATCAAAAATCCCGGTGAGGATCCTCGTCCCCACCATTCACATGAACAAGGATGGAGAGGGACTCTCCGACCCTGCAAGGCTTGTTAGAAAATATGAAACAGTAGAAGAATAAAGAATTGTTCTGAGGTATGATCTCACTTTCTTTAAGGATTTAAAATCCTCCATGATACAATATAACACAAAACTCTCTCAGAATTAGATGTAAAACTCTGACTTTGCATAAGAATTTATAATACCTAAAAAGTTACTATTTGTAGGGATGTATCCTTCTAAAAAGACACCATTTCATAGAGGCACCTTTTAACTGCCAAAAGTTATATCTAACTTTAGACATATCTTCCCAAGTTTTAATTTAATAAAATAAAATAAAAAATCCAAAAATAATAAAAAATTAATGATATTATGACAGTCAAGCCCAATCTTTTGACTATATATAAAGGGGCAAAACCCAATTTACCTTGGGTTTCATTTTACTTAATTATTTGTTGATAAAGAATAGGCTCTTATAAACTCCTTTAAATTCACATACTTTCTTAATGTGAGATCTTAAACATTTACAAATTATTCAACAAGACTTCATTGCCATCCCTAGTTGGGCTAACATAGTTCTCATTTTCTTGCAACAGGTTCAAACAAATCCAAAGTGTCCCACGAACATTCCATGACTGATTCTAACCCGTCTAACTTACTCGTCCTCAGATTATCTTGTCTAAATCAATCTCACACAGAGTACATGTTTAGATGAACATATTAACCTTTTCTCAATTTTGCATGATCAAACAAACAATGAAATATGCTCTTATAATAAAAAAAAAAAAAACTTGCATGAATTCCGACAGATTGTAAGACATTAACTCTGCCACGTCTACATGCTATATAGTTATAAGTTATATATGCATACATATATATATATATATATATGATTGACTATAGTAGTCCTGATAAAAATATAAAGTTAATGGATAATAATTGGTATATTTTTTAATTCAACGTATTTTATAATATATTTATTGAAAACTTATTATTTTCAAATTTAAATTTAAAACAAGAAAAATTCCAACTATAAAATTTAATAATTAAATCGGTAAGTGTTGATGAGTGTATTGAATCAAAGAGTATACCAATTATTTTCCAAAGCTAATGGACAATTTTATTCATGACAAAATTTCACAATTATCACATGTCATAGAATAAGTAAATACAATTTCTGTGCATCACTAAGTGAAGAGTCAAATTAATCATAATAACTATTATGTAGGTATGTGAAACTTTACTGTGAGATAAGATGATACATATGAATCACTTCTTGTAAACATATATCACCCATAAGATCAACTAGGGAAGATAAAAAAATTAAATAAATAAATAAATTAGTCAATGCCATCACATGAGGATATTAATTATTGACTCAACTTCAAATTTAACCCTATACCCGAAGAGGTACAATTAGTGGGGAGTGAACTACTTAAATGAAGAGGGAAGAATAAAGGTTTATGGAAAATTTTGGTGGTGTGAGTTAGGTCTGCGCATAGTTTTGATTTAACATGGTAAAAG